CGTCTCGTGGCCCCTATAGTTACGGAGCTCCACCGCACGCATCAACGGCAAGGTCCGCATGGCGTACCCGCACCCGATTCAGTACACCCCTGACACGTTTCGTGGCCCCATTGGGGAGCTCCACCGAAGGCCCTAGCGGCAGGGTCCGCACGGCGTAGCCGCACCACATTCGGCACACCCCTCACACGTTTCGTGGCCCCAGAGGGTGCTCCACATCAGGCCCCAACGGCAGGGCCAGCATGGCGTACCCGCACCCGATTCGGCACACGCCTCACACGTTTCGTGGCCCCATAAGAGGGGGCTCCACCGAAAGCTCAACGGCAAGATCCGCATGGCGTACCCGCACTCGAATTGCCACACCCCTCACACGTTTCGTGGCCCCAGAAGGAGGCCCACCGAAGGCCCCAGCGGCAAGGTCCGCACGGTGCACCCGCATCCGATTCGGCACACCCCTCTCGCGTTCCGTGGTCACATAGGGAGCTCCACCGAAGGCCCCAGCGGCAGGGTCCGCATATCGTACCGCACGCAATCCGACACAGCCCTCACACGTTTCGTGGGTTCGTGCCCCAGCGGCAACGCCCGCATGGCGTACCCGCACCAGATTCGGCACACCCCAGACACGTTTCGTGGTCACATAAGGAGCTCAATCGAAAGCCCCAGCGGCAAGTTCCACATGGCGTACCCGCACCCGATCTGGCACATCTCTCACACGTTTCGTGGCCCCGAAAGGAGCTCCGCAGAAAGCCCCAGCGGCAGGGCCCGCACGGTGCCTCCACAACCGATTCAGCACAGCGCTCTTACGTTTCGTGGTCCCGTAGGGAGCCCCACCGCAGGTCCGAACTGCAGGGTCCGCATGGCGTACCCACCCCCGATTCAGCACACCCCTCATACGTTTCGTGGAACCATAACGAGCCCCACCGAAGGCCCCAGCGGCAGCGTCCACATGGGGTGCCCGCGCCCGATTCGGGCCCCCCCTCAAATGTGCCGTGGCCCCATAAAGAACTCCATCTAAGGCCCGAGGGGCAAGGTCCGCATGGCGCACCTGCCCTATGTCGGTACCCCCCCTCTCCCCCTGCTTCTTCTCACATGCCTCGCGGTACACGCAACTTCATATTATGGTTTGGGCCCTTCGCCAAGATAATACAAACGAATGTGCGCGGCGCTAGGGCGAGAGCCACATTTTGAAAAAGAGCCGCCCTCCATCTGTGAAGCTCTTGTGCTTTCCAACTAATCCTGTGGAGTTGGGTCCTCGTTCTGACAAGACAGCGCCCCGCGTCACTCGCCTCACCTCCTGCCCCTCCCCTCTCTCCTACCACCCCTGCCTCTGCCCTCCGCATGCCAACCACATCGGCAAACCACTCACACGTTTCGTGGTCCAATGAAGAATTCCACCGAAGGCCCCAGCGGCAGCGTCCACATGACGTACCCGCACTCAATCCGGCACACCCCTCACACGTTTCGTGGCCCCATAAGGCGGCTCCGCCGAAGGCCCCAGCGGTAGCGTCTGCATGGCGTACCGCACACCCAACGGCACACCCCTCACACGTTTCGTGACCTCGTGAAGGGGCCCCCACCGAAGGCCCCAGTTGAAGGGTCCGCATGGCGTACCCGCACCCAATTCGGCACACCGTTCACATGTTTCGTGGCCCCATTGGGAGCTCCACTCCAGGCCCCAGCGGCAGGGTCCGCATGGCAAGCCCGCACCCAATCCGGGACACCCATAAACTGTTTCGTGGCCCCACAGGAAGCTCCGCCGAAGGCCCCAGCGGCAGCGTCCGCGTGGCGTGCCGCACACAATCCGGCACACCCTGTACACGTTTCGTGGCCCCTTTGGGGAGCGTCACCGAAATCCCCAGCGGCAGCGTCTGCATGGCGTGCCCGCGCCCAATCCGGAACACCCCTCACATGCTTCGTGGCCGCATAGTGAGCTCCATCGCAGGCCCCAGCGGTAGCGTCCGCACGGCGAGCCCGCACCAAATTCGACATACCCTTACACGTTTCGTGGCCCCATGTGGAGCTCCACCGAAGGCCTCAGCGGCAACATCCGCATGGCGTACCCGCACCCAACTCGGCACACCCTTCACACGTTTCGTGGCCAGAGAAGGAGCGCCGTCGGCCCCGGCGGCAGGGTTCGCATGGCGTGCCCGCACCCACCTCGGCACACCCCTCACACGCTTTGTGCCCCCATAAGGGGGCTCCCCCGAAGGCCCCAGCGGCAACGTCCGCATGGCGTACCCGCGCCCGATTCGGCACACCCATCGCACGGTTCGTGGCCACATAGGGAGCCCCACCGAAGGCCCCAGCGGCAGGGTTCGCAAGGCGTGCCCGCGCCCGATTCGGCACACCCCTCACACGTTTCATGGCGTCATAAGTTGCACCACCGATGGCCCCAGCGGCAGGGTCGGCACATCGTACCCGCACCCAATCGGGCACAACCTTTACACGTTTCGTGGCCACATCCCCCGAAGGCCCCGGCGTACACGCACCTACGCGGACAGACCCCTCACACGTTTCGTTTCCCCTCGTGGAGCGCCGTCGAATGCCCCAGCGGTAGCGTCCGCATGGCGGACCCGTAGCCATGTCGGCACACCCCTCACACGTTTCGTGGCACCATAGGAAGCTCCACCGAAGGCCCCAGCTGCTGAAGGCCCTCACCTGCACTCGATACTCGCAGCTGCATATGGTTGGGTCCTTCGCCACAGCAATCTAAAAAGAACGGGCGGGGTGCGAAAGCGAGAACCACATTTTGAAAACGAGCTGCCCTCAATCCGTGAAGCTCTTGCAAATGTTTAAAACGACTGTGCGCGGCGCTAAGGCAAGAGCACCAATTTGAAAACGACCCGCCCTCAATAGGTGAAGCTCCTGCCATTTGTTTAACCCAATGTGCGCGGCGCGAAGGCGAGCCACATTTTGAAGCTTCAGGGGCATAAATGGTGGTAGGAAAGAATCAGTCGAAACGCCCGGCTCGCCCTTCCGACCGGCCTCGTGGCACAAGAGGGACAATATATTTATAAGGAGAAGGAATGGAGGAGGCGAAGAAGGATGGGGAGGAGGAGGAGAGGAGGAGGGGGAGGATGAGGAGGAGGAGGAGGATGGGGAGGAGGAGGAGGAGGAGGAGAAGGAGGAGGAGGAGGAGGAGGAGGAGAAGGAGGAGGGGGAGGAGGACAAGCTAGGTGCGCTCGCGTCATGTCTGACATCCTACCCCTCCCTCCCATCCCTTACCATGGCGCAGATCCCCCCTTTCTACTCGCACAGTCGGATGTCGAGCAGGGCAATGATCCCGAAAGGGTACGCGATGCATGGTAGAGCACGGCATGGCATGGCGTAGAAGAGCACCGCAAAGCGTAGTATCAAACTAGCATTGCATTGCATGCCGTGGCATGGCACGGGAAATGACGCCAGCGCTGCAGCGGGAGCACGAGTCGAAACGAGCGGAAGCGCGGAAATGAGGCCAGCGCTGCAGCGGGAGCACGATTCGGAACGAGCGGAAGCACGGAAATGAGGCCAGCGCTGCAGCGGGAACACGATTCGGAACGAGCGGGGCCCGAAAATAATGCCGGCGCCTCAGCGAGAGCAGCATTTTGAAAACAAATGCAGGCGAGAACCCAACTCCGGGGAAACTTGTGAGAAAAAAACAGTACGCGGGGGGGGATCGGACACTTTCAAACCGTCATCAGGGGAAGAGGGAGAGTAGTATTCATATTGAGTAATTGTAGAGGAGGAGGAGGAGGAGGAGGAGGAGGAGGAGGAGGAGGAGGAGGAGGAGAGAGGAGGAGGAGGAGACGAAACCCAAGCAGGCGCTGCGGCGCGAGGCGGCGCCGCCAGAAGCGCCCGTGACGCCGCTCGCGAGCGCGCGGCTGGGGCGGAAGCCCGCGGGACCCGCTCTGGAAGAAGGCTGGGAAGCGCTCGGAGCGACCTCGAGCGGGAGGGGGAGGGGGTCATGCCACGTCGGCGCGAGCCAACGCTCGCGGAAGGAGGAGAGGCGGAGGGGACGCGCGTGCCCTTCCTTCCCCACTGTCCGCCAGATCGACGCCTTCCCTGCCCACCCCTGCGCCGTGGCTGGGAAGGGGAGGGGCAGGGGCGGGGGGCTCGAGAACCTGAAGGGTCGAAGCTTCTGTGCGGTCTTAGGCTTTGTCGGGCCTGCGGAGGCCTCCTGAGGCCTCCAGGGCGAACCCGAGACCTCGAGAGGCCTCTGGAGATCCGCGGGGGCCCGGGGAAGTGGGGAGAGGATGCAGAGGATGCAGAGAAGCTGGCAGAGGGTGAGCAGAGGTTCCCGGAGTGGGATGGGGCACCAGCGCAGCGTGAAACTGATGCGTGGCGGCCGCGCGCAGAGACCCCCGGCTCAGATGTTCCACCGAGGCGGGCAGCACTGCGAGCCAGCAGAACGCACCCCTCCCCTTCTCCTCGATGCCCCAATCGGCGGCGCGCACCAGAGGGGTCGGGGCGAGAGAGGTGGGCTTCCAAGAGCGCGAGGGGGGGGCCGCTTCGAGGCCCCTGCCGCCTCCCGATGCGCCCTCCTGGAGGCCTCGGGGGTCCACTCTGGGAAGCGCCCCGCCCTCGCAGAGGCCCCTCCCCCCTGCAGGCCTCGGGAAATACAGCGAATACTCATGCCACATTCAAGGGTCAACGCCTCCCCCTCTCCCCCCAATGCTCAAAGTTGGCGGTGGGTCCGATGAGTTCCACTTCGACCGCAGTCTCCCCCGCGCGTGCCAACTTTGAGTTTGGGTGAGCGGGGGAATGCCTACTAATCGTTCCCCCCTGCCGTCGCCCCGTTTCCCCTGGTCGTGGGCGACAAGCGTACCCGTATCCGCGGCCTCGCGAGGCGGCCCCGTTGGCGGGGACCCACGGATGCGGGGCACTTTCTCCGCGGATGCCCCGCGCGAGGAACGCAATCCTCCGTGCGACCGCGCCTCGGCGGGCTCGCGCCCTTGGAGCCCAGACCGCGAGGGCGCGGAGACGGAGAGGCTCGCCGCTCGTGCCCCCGGCGCGCGCCGCCGAGCTCAGCGGGGCCCGCCCCAGGAGGCGGTCACCGACGAGCCCGACTGCTCCGCCACTGCCCCACCCCAGCTCTGCCTCGCGGGGAGGGCGAGCCCCGCGCCCGCCCCCCGCCGCCGGCCAGGCCCGTCCTGAGCCCGGGAGCGGTGCACACTCTTTGGTCTGCGGGGCGAGAGCGATACTCTTCCGGCAAAAGCTAGGCGGGGCCACGCACAGCTCTAAATTGGGGAGGCAAGACTGGAAGCGGTGCGCACTCAGGTCGGGCATGCTCTCCTACAGGCGGATTTTGGAGGCCCCCCCCCTCAAAATAGCCAGAACAGACTCACAAAGTAAGCAGAAACAGTCAAGAGATCGTCCCCAGACTACTTTTTTGACCGTCTTTGAACATTCCCCCCCGTAGAGGCACATGCCCGACTTTCAGTGCGCACGCCTCCCTGGCTCAGCCAGGGGGGGGGCATACGCCGCTCGTGGGGCCAAGATGGGCCTGGCCAGCGGCGTGGGACGTGCGCACATCCCGCCGCTCTGCCTGGACCTCGCCCGGAAGGCCCGGCACGGGTCGGCGACCCGCTCCACCCGCGGGTCGTGCCCCTGCGTGCCGAGCAGGCCGCCCAGCCTCTCGAACCCGAGGCTCCGGAGGCCCGTGGCCCGGAAGTCGAGCGCCTGGTGGGCGGCCTGGGCCACCTCCAGCGTGGCGACGGGCCCTGCACCGGCGCCTCGGACGTGGAACTGGAAGGCCTGCGCCTCCTGCAGGATCCGCCAACATCGCGGCGGGGAAGGGCGGACCGGCTCGAACTGTGAATCGGACAAGGCCGCACCGGCAGGGAGCCGGAGCCGAACCGCACTGGCATCGGGATGCACAGCGGCGCCACGCAAACATCCGATCGCACCGCATCGCTGGATCATCGGAACCCCTGAGATCCGACGTAGCCCAAAAAACTGCAACATCGTGAAAAATCAAGCCCAGAGGTCTGGACTCCATCTTTCTGCATCATTTTTCGAGCTGGATCGATCTGCGAGGGTCCCATGGCCCGAAAAAGGCGAGAATGCCCGGCTTGAAAACAACTGCAACGCCAGGCTGTCAGGGATGGGATGGAGCCGGCCAGGATCGACACCGAGTCGGCTCGATCGGCTCGAAGTGGGCCCTGTCCTGTGGCCTGCCGGCGTCGGCGTAGACCTGTCTCCACACGGGCACGAGGCGGACGTGCCCAGAGAGACCGCGTCCCCCCTGGTGAAGTTCGCCCCACGGCTCGTACTCGTCCACGGCCGCGTGCGCGGCGGCTCGCCTTCGACTGCACGCAGGAGCGACCCTGTGCAAGAGCGACCTCTGGTGCGCGGCCTTTCGGGGGGCCGCGGGGAGAACAAACCCAAGCGCGCAGAACGCTACTACCGCATCTTTGGACGCCCGAAAGGGGTACCGAAAAAATGGGTACCATGCCCAACAGCAAATGTTGTCCCAAACCAACAGCGGCCGCTGTTGGGCGGGCGGCCTCCTGTCTCGAATGGACACAGGCCGCGGCGGAGCGGACAGCGAGCCCTGTTCAAACTGAACAAGATCCGCTGTTGGGCATCGTACCCATTCTTTCAGTACCCATTTCGGGCGTCCAGAGCATCTCTCTCGGCGATCGGGGGGCCCCAGAAGGTGCCCGCACCAGAGGTCACTCCAGCGAAGGGCCGCCCTCTGCGTCTGGGTCGGCGCCTGGCCCGGGCCCGCACGGAGAACGGGCGGAGCGTGCCGCTGCCTGCGCCGTTCGGGCCGTCGGCGTTGCGCCGAAGCGGCACCACGTCCACGACCTGGTCGCCCAGCCACTCGCCGCCGAGCTCGATGCTGTGGATGTAGAGGCCGCAGGGCTTGCCCGCGAAGGGCCCGAGGGTGGCGTTCAGCTCCAGCTTGGCGGGCAGCCGCTGGTCCTGGGGGGCCCTCAGCAGCACGTAGCTGCCAGGCATGTTGACGTCAAACTTCTTCCCAGTAACACTCGTCAAGTGTGGGTCGCCTACTGCGGACGACTCGTCGCCGTTCTCGGTCGAGACTGCGACGGTTCCGGCGGGAATGGTAATAGGCGAGGGCGAGTTATGGAGGCTCATGACATCTGCGTTGCCAGCTGTACCCGCTACAATTTTGGCCGTGATGGTGCCTGCATTCGTGCCGAGATCGGCGGTGGTAGCCTCGGCCTCTTGGAGGGTGTTCTGGGCGATCCTGACGACAACCGCGATCGAGCCTGCCGACAAAATCACCTCGCAGTCGGCAACTGGCCGGGCGACTTCCGTGCAGACGCTGTTGGCAACAATCGCCTTAAAGATAGCTTCGACCATGCTGTTGGCCGCCAACGTCGCGTAATCGAACCCTGTCGTCACAAATGATATCCTGCTGGCGTACGGAGTCGCGGACGGGATTCCGGAATCCGGGATCGTCGGTCTCTCGGACGGGATGGGTGTCGGGCTGGGCGTCGGTGCTTGTGTCGGTGGGGGAACCAAGGCCACCAAATTGACCGTGGCTGGGGTCGCGGGTATTCCCGTGACATAGCCAGTGCGATGCGAAGCCGTGAGGAGATCCCACCTCTGTGAAGCTGTCATAGATCCCGCCGAAGGGTATGCCTCGTACATAATGGCCGCGAGCCCGGAGACATGAGCACAAGCCATCGACGTACCCGAAGATACCCCCAAGCTGGTGTCGCTGGCATGGTACGTCGAGAGGATGTACGTGCCTGGAGCCCAGAGATCTACGCAAGACCCGTAATTGCTGAAAGGTGACATGGCCGATGAAGAACCCGAATTTCCGCCATAAGATGCCACTGTGATCGCCGACGGGATGTACGCTGGATTGTAAGCGCACGCATCTGTATTCTGGTTCCCTGCAGCCACCACCACGGTCACACCATCGGCAAGTAAAGTGTCGATCGAGACCTTCTCCGGCTTGCTATTTCCAGCCCCCGACAAGCTCATGCTGACCACTGCTGGCCTCAAACCAGACGTCAAAATCCACTGCTCGGCTTCAATGGACCAAGAGGTGTAGCCATCACCGTTGTCATCGAGGACCTTCATCGCCCAGATGGTGGCGCCATCTGCAACGCCATATGTCGAGGCCCCCACTGTGCCCGCGCAGTGGGTGCCATGCCCATGATTGTCTGCAGCGCACGTTGTGCTGCTTGGATCGCACACTGTCAAGCTCCCACTGGTGGCCACGTCAACTCCAGCAAAGGCCCGACCGCCGAACGAGACGTGGGTTGTGCGGATGCCAGTGTCCAGCACGTACACATTCACTCCCGCGCCTCGCCCCCGGACTGAATCCGCATTAATATCTTGCATGCCCCATGGGTACGTCCGCCGCTCCATGGGACCGTGGAATACATCGATGTGCTCCACGACCTTTCTCTCGAACCGGTCCTCTTCGACGTACTTCACACGCTCAGAGTACATCTCCAGCACGGCATGGAGCTCATTTTCTGTCAAGGCCCCCTCCACGAACGGCACCTCGCCCCTGCCTGGATGACTGTGATGCCCGTTGTGGAGTTTCTGGCAGAGCACTTTCACCTCCTCATCCGTAGCATCGCTTTCCAGCACGATCATCCACGTCTTGAGCTCACCAGCGGCCTTGGGGACTCGTCCCCAAAGCTGCTGCACCTGGTCGGCGTGGCCCATGGAGAAAGAATCTTGCGCTCCGTATGGATTCCAATCGTGTCGCACCGCGGCCCGTCTGGCCATCAGCGCGATCTCGTCATCCTCGCCTTCGCGATGCTTCACTTGTAGGGCGAACGTGCAATCTGTGATCTCTCTTTCTTGCAGTCGATGTTCGCCTCGTTCTCTCAAAGCCTCGCATCTCGCCGACGGCCTAGAGCAAGCTGCCAATATCGCCACAACCCAGCACCGAAGGGAGCTGCGCGTGTGCATAGATCGCGTAACGTTGTGAAAAATGCTTGTGTGGTGGCCTCAAGCCTTGAATTCGACGTGAAGGCTCCAGTCAGTGAGGCATTGGCTGGAGCCCATGTGTCTATTGATGAAGGTGGAACTGGGGGGATGGAGAGGGGGAGAGGCAAGTTAGGTGCGCTCGCGTCATATCTGACATCCTACCGCCCCTCCCATCCATTCCTTACCGTGGCGTGGATCCTTTCTCGATTCGCACAGTCGGATGTCGTAGCAGGGTATCACAGTACATGGCATAGCATGGTGTTGAATATCAACGGGTAGCCTGACATAGTATGGCGTGGCGACGCCCAACAACGGGGGGGGGCTTCTGCGGCCTCGAAACTCAACGAATCGACACCGAAGGTGGAATCACTTCCGATAGTTGTTTCGGGGGGCCATTTTCTAGATTTTGGGGCCTACTTGGAAGGATCGAAAACCATGCCGTGGCATGGCGCAGGAAATAATGACGCCAACGCTGCAGCGGGAGCACGATTCGGAACGAGCGGAAGCGCGGAAATGAGGCCAGCGCTGCAGCGGGAGCACGATTCGGAGGACGCGTAGCCTGACATAGCATGGCGTGGCGACGCCCCAAAGTGGGGGGCTTCTGCGACCCCCAAAATCAACGAATCGACACCGAAGGTGGAATCACTTTCGATGCTTCTTCGGGGGGGCATTTTCTAGATTTTGGGGCTATTTGGAAGGACCGAAAACCATGCCGTGGCACGGCGCTGGAAATACTTACGCAGGACGAAAGATTTTCTTCTTGAGGTGAAAATGGCCATGAGGAGTTCGCGAGACAACGTCGGCGCCGGAACGGACGGCGACCAGACGAACTGTTTGCAGCAACCGGGGTAAGAGGGATGTATGTACTCATTTTGAATGGGGCCCGCTCGCGCGGGGAGCTGATGGGAGTACGCGAGACGACGCAGCGCCCATCGTGGAAAATTAATTACCGAACCACCCATCCTCCGTAGTAATTACCGAACCCCCCATCCCCCGTAGAATCTTAACACGGGCGGTTTGCGGGGTCCGCGGATCCGATTTCTTCCGGTTCCCTGTTTGAATTTAACAATATAAATTTAGAACAGGGTAGAAATCGGATCCGCCGTGAAAAATAAGACCGAACACGGATCCAGCAAATCCGAAATCGGATCCGCGCCGACAGAAATCGGATCCACCGAAACACACGCCAGAACCAAAATTGGATCCGCGCGAACTTCATTGGATCCGACGGCGGGTATCTCACACGCGTCTGCTTAAGACTTCAAACCTTCGCTCTGGACCCAAGAGGAAAAAACTTTCGTCCTGGGGATGTAATGACGCCAACGCTGCAATGGGAGCACGATTTGGAACGAGCGGAAGCGCGGAAATGAGGCTAGCGCTGCAGCGGGAGCACGATTCGGAACGGACAGTGGCCCGAAAATGAGGCCAACGCTTCAGCGAGAACAACATTTTGAAACAACCAAAACGGAAACCCAACTCCCAGGAATCTTGTGTGAAACAACCAGTAAGCGGAGGGGAGAGAGGAGAGTCGTACTCACATGGTGTAATTGTAGAGGAGGGAGGGGAAGTGGAGGAGGATGAGGAGGATGAGAAGAAGGACGAGGACGAGGAAGGCCAGGGTGTTTAAACCCAGCATGCATCAACGCTGTTGTAATGCACCCTCCCGCTCGAAGTTGCTTCTTCGAAATTCACTAATGCAATCCTGTTCACCACGGCAGACACGGACTTCAGACACGAGTGTGCCCTTAGCCTGCGATTCAGGCTGGAGTCCTTTCTTGCAGAGGGACTGCCCTGCATCCTTTAAGCTGCAACGATTAGGAACACATATGATCACATAATTCATACAACTATTCAAGACAATTGTTTGAGAGAGAACCGCATTACATCCGCGTGTTGGTGGCGAGCCCATGGTGGAAGGAGAGGGTCTTCTCAGAAGACGCGGAAATCCTCTGGCTTTCTGTGTGCACGGCGCTTCGGGGAGAGCCGCATTTTGAAACTCGGCCGCCCTCTATCTGTGTGGCTCTTGGGTTTCCAAGCTTCAGGACCATATGGACTAAAGAAATCTCGAGCGAAACGCCCAGCCCGCCCTACCGACACGCCTAGTTGCGCTACGGAGCGCAAATCTTTATAGGCAAAGGGGATGCAGGGGAGTGGTCGTGGGGAAAGGGTGGCGGGGGATGAGCAGGGGGAGCGTGAGAGTTATCGTAATAAGAAAAGGCGCTGTGAATACAAACAATGCACAGGGAACGCATACGCCTACGCAATATGTTTTGCCAACGGCTACTGACGACCACGAACGATTGAAACCATCGTGTGGACCGTCGGCGCCTGAGTGATAGCGGATGGTCTCTCTCTCCCCCTCTCTCTCTCTCTCTCTCTTTTTTCTCTATCTCTCTCTCTCTGTTTAGATCTATGTATATGTTTAGAACTCTCTCTCTCTTTCTCTCTCTCTCTCTCCATTTCCCCCCCCCCTCTCTCTCTCTCCTCCTCCTTCCAACAACCCCTTATAACTCTCTCAGAAGCACCTGTCAGAGACCCAATCCCTGAGACGCCGCGCTCATTGAGAGACAAGGGAAGAAAATACTCGAACATGTTCCTGTGCCATGCCCGCGTGCCGCGCTTATCCACCATATTTTCCGTGCCGTGCCGTGCCGTGTCCGTGTGTTTCGAGAGCCGGATAAAAATGCCGTGCCATGCCGTGCCCGCGTGGCATGCCGTGCTTAATTTCGAGAATGCGTCAAATTGCCGCCCCGTGCCGTGTCGTTCCATGCCGTTGCTGTGTGCCGTCCCGTGTTGGGTGTCGCGAATGCGTGAAAAATGCCGTGCCGTGCTGGGTTTTCAGAATGCGGAGCAGCTGCCATGCCGTGCCGTGCCGACCATGTGTCTTTTCATGCAACGTTGCTGTTTAGGGTCTCTGTATCAGTGTGATAGAACTGCTTCTCGATCTCCCTTCGCTATCCATTTGAAATTCGAATGTAGGATGTTCCGAACGAATGTCCACAAATCTCCAAACACGCGAGGCGCATCGAATTTGAATAATCTTGATCTGGAATATGAATGATGATGATGATCAGAAGGAGGAGGGACAACGATGAGAAGATGCAGGAAACCGTTTGAAGGTTGACGGTCGGAACTACCAGGGACGTAGCAAACAGTATTCTTCAAACACCCAACGCCTCACCTGTTTGATATGTCCTAGGCGTAAATTGTGCGATCCTTTAATATCCAGGCTTTAAACGGAGGCGGCGCAATAGTGACAATACGATTGAAACTACGCCTCCTCCTTGGGCCACGCCTGCGTGACAACCCGTATGCATAAGTTGCTTGGAATGGTAAAGCTTCGGTATTCGAACCATGTGCAAGATGAGGGATCACATGATGAGAGAGAAAGAGAGAACACGAGAGACAGAGAGAGAGAGAGAGAGAACGAGAGAGAGAGAGAGAGATAAAGAAACAAAGAGGTTCGTATATTAATCTATGCAGTTTTACGAGCAGTAATCCCCCAAACAAGGCTCGCTTTGCACTTATGGGTTTGTGTTTCCCAACTATCCTGTGGTGTTGGGTCTTCGTTTTGAAGAGACAACGCCCCGCGTTTCCTCCTCCTTCCTCCTCCCTCCTCCCCTCCTCTCATCATCATCATCATCATCATCATCATCATCATCACCATCATCATCAACATCATCATCATCATTTACATCATCATCATCATCGTCATCATCATCATCATCGTCACCGTCGTCGTCATCATCATCAACATCAGCATCATCAACATCATCACACGTTTCGTTGCCCCATGGGAGCTCCAGCGAAAGTCCCAATGGCGCGGTTGGCATGCGTCTCTCCCCAATACAGCGTTTCGTGGCCCCACGGGGAGCGCCACCGAAGGTCCCCGTGGCGCAGTCTGCATGCGTCTCCCCTACCCAATACAGCGTTTCGTGGCCCCATATGGGGCTTCGCCGAAGGTCCCAGTGGCACTGTCCGCATGCGTCCCCGCCACTCATTTCGGCACACCCCTCACGCGTTTTGTGGCCCCACAGGAGCTCCGCCGAAGGTCCCAGTGGCACACTCCGCATTCGTCCCCGCCACTCATTTCGACCCACCCCTCACACGTTTCGTTGCCCCATACGGGCTCCGCCGAAGGTCCCAGTGGCGCAGTCCGCGTGCGTCCCCGCCACTCATTTCGGCACACCCCTCACACGTTTCGTGGCCACACAGGAGCACCGCCGAAGGTCCCAGTGGCACAGTCCGCGTTCGTCCCTGCCACTCATTTCGGCCCACCCCTCACACGTTTCTTGGCGCCATAGGAGCTCTGCCGACGGTCCCAGTGGCACAGTCCGCATGCGTCCCCGCCACTCATTTCGGCCCACCCCTCACACGTTTCGTGGCCCCACAGGAGCTCCGCCGAAGGTCCCAGTGGCACAGTCCGCACGCGTCCCCGCCATTCATGTCGGCACACCCCATAGGGAACTCCACCGAAGGCCCCCGTGGCGCAGTCCCGCCGGCTTTAGAGTGCCAGGCAAATCCCCGAAGGAGCTGCGCTACCTCCGCGCTCCAGAGTACCAGGCCGTGGTGAAGCTCTTCTGCAACGCGCCGCTGTGCTTCGAGCTCCAGGCGTCCAACCGCTTCAAGGGCCCGAAACTCAGGGACCTCATGGCGTTCCTGCGCAAACCGGGGAAGCAGGTCCCTCCGGCCATCCGGGCCGCGTGGAACGCCTTGCAGCTGAAACCCGATGATCGTAGACTCCAGGCGGAAAGGTTCCAGGGCGGCCACATGATTGGGTCCTACTGGGACACCGTGGCGCGGTGGATGAACATGCGGGCACAGCGGGGCGCGGACGTCCTGAAGAAGCCCCTCTTCCTCGTGCAGGATGCCGACAGGTCTGCCCCGACGATGGGCAGGAAGGGCGCCGCCAAGATGATGAACTGTGCCAGCCCGAAGAACACCAGTGGCGTGCGCGGGCTTCTCCCGGTGCACGTGGGCAT